TTTCTGGCACTTCTTGATTACAAGTTAAAATCAGTATATTTTGCTAGAAAATTACTTATAACCCCCAAACATTAAATATTTTATTTTTTATCAAAGACCCTACAGAATGAAATGTCAATTGAAGCAAAATATACACTTTAATAAAAAATTAAAAAGAAAAAAAAATACAATATATACCCCAATGTTTTCTAATGAAAATATTAAAGAAGATGTTATGGCAAGTAAATAGATACCTAGTGTATCATAAAATTGCGCACGTTCGCAGAATGGCAAAAAACAAAAGCACTTAAAAATCTCCAAAGGCAACGCTTTAAAAAATTTTACAGGTTACCTGTTTAGAGTTACAGAGAAGATCCAGTGCTAGAATTATTGCTCTCTAACGTTTGCAGCGATACCTCACGTGTGTGTTGCGAAAAACCATTTACATATGCATGCACAACTTATGCGTTCACTTCTGCATGCGAACACAGGGGGGATAGTTGAGCTTTAAAATTTTTATATATTTTTTTCGGATTTATTTTATTTTTTATTTTTACACTGTCCCTTTATTTTTTAACACCTTTATTCCTATTGCAAGGAATGTAAACATCCCTTGTAATAGAAATAAGGATGACAGGACCTCCTTAAGGAATGATCTGGGGTGAAAGACCCCAAATCTCTCATTTACCTTTAAAAGCAAAAGATTAAAAAAAAAAAATGTTTGATCTTTTACTTTATAAAGAAACAAAATGGTATGCCTCCTCTCCAGATCGGAAGTGACGTCATGACATCACTCTGGTCCTCCAAGGGCCATAGAGGCTATCAGTAAACAACAGTCTTTCATTGCAAGCCAAACTGTTGAAAAGTTTCTCAGGTATGCCGGTGGAAGAGGTAAGCCCAAGAAACACCACCAAGCTGCGAGAGGGGTGCTACTGAAAGCGATCCAGTGGCTAATAACACAGGTCTGCGACTAAAAAGCGATTTGATTATTTTCATCTAATTTCCATGTATTTTGGTGTGCTGAAAACAAATAAAATATTGAAAAAACTCCTAGACGTCATGATTTGCCACAAAATGCGAAACGGTCTTAGGGTTTGAGCTATACTTGCCGTATAAGACTACCCCTCTTCCAACGCACACCAAATAAAAATGAAAAAACATCAGATTTGATTTCAATATGGTATGCTATTTCAGTATGGTATTCCAATGATGGGGTGCTACTCCTCCCACTGACACCAATGATGGGGTGCTACTCCTCCCACTGACACCAATGATGGGGTGCTACTCCTCCCACTGACACCAATGACGGGGGCGCTACTCCTCCCACTGACACCAATGACGGGGCGCTATTTCATCCACTGACACCAATGACGGGGCGCTATTTCATCCACTGACACCAATGACGGGGCGCTATTTCATCCACTGACACCAATGACGGGGCACTATTTCATCCACTGACACCAATGACGGGGCACTATTTCATCCACTGACACCAATGACGGGGCACTATTTCATCCACTGACACCAATGACGGGGCACTATTTCATCCACTGACACCAATGACGGGGCACTATTTCATCCACTGACACCAATGACGGGGCACTATTTCATCCACTGACACCAATGACGGGGCACTATTTCATCCACTGACACCAATGACGGGGCACTATTTCATCCACTGACACCAATGACGGGGCACTATTTCATCCACTGACACCAATGACGGGGCACTATTTCATCCACTGACACCAATGACGGGGCACTATTTCATCCACTGACACCAATGACGGGGCACTATTTCATCCACTGACACCAATGACGGGGCACTATTTCATCCACTGACACCAATGACGGGGCACTATTTCATCCACTGACACCAATGACGGGGCACTATTTCATCCACTGACACCAATGACGGGGCACTATTTCATCCACTGACACCAATGACGGGGCACTATTTCATCCACTGACACCAATGATGGCGCCCCATCGTTGGTGTCAGTGTGTGGGGAGAATAGCGCCCCATCGTTGGTGTCAGTGTGTGGGGAGAATAGCGCCCCATCGTTGGTGTCAGTGTGTGGGGAGAATAGCGCCCCATCGTTGGTGTCAGTGTGTGGGGAGAATAGCGCCCCATCGTTGGTGTCAGTGTGTGGGGAGAATAGCGCCCCATCGTTGGTGTCAGTGTGTGGGGAGAATAGCGCCCCATCGTTGGTGTCAGTGTGTGGGGAGAATAGCGCCCCATCGTTGGTGTCAGTGTGTGGGGGAGAATAGCGCCCCATCGTTGGTGTCAGTGTGGGGGAGAATAGCGCCCCATCGTTGGTGTCAGTGGTGGGGGAGAATAGCGCCCCATCGTTGGTGTCAGTGGGGGGAGAATAGCGCCCCATCGTTGGTGTCAGTGTGTGGGGAGAATAGCGCCCCATCGTTGGTGTCAGTGTGTGGGGAGAATAGCGCCCCATCGTTGGTGTCAGTGTGTGGGGAGAATAGCGCCCCATCGTTGGTGCCAGTGTGTGGGGAGAATAGCGCCCCATCGTTGGTGCCAGTGTGGGGGAGAATAGCGCCCCATCGTTGGTGCCAGTGTGGGGGAGAATAGCGCCCCATCGTTGGTGCCAGTGGTGGGGAGAATAGCGCCCCATCGTTGGTGCCAGTGTGTGCGCCCCATCGTTGGGCCAGGGGGAGAATAGCGCCCCATCGTTGGTGCCAGTGGGGAGAATAGCGCCCCATCGTTGGTGCCAGTGGGGAGAATAGCGCCCCATCGTTGGTGCCAGTGGGGAGAATAGCGCCCCATCGTTGGTGCCAGTGGGGAGAATAGCGCCCCATCGTTGGTGCCAGTGGGGAGAATAGCGCCCCATCGTTGGTGCCAGTGGGGAGAATAGCGCCCCATCGTTGGTGCCAGTGGGGAGAATAGCGCCCCATCGTTGGTGCCAGTGGGGAGAATAGCGCCCCATCGTTGGTGCCAGTGGGGAGAATAGCGCCCCATCGTTGGTGCCAGTGGGGAGAATAGCGCCCCATCGTTGGTGCCAGTGGGGAGAATAGCGCCCCATCGTTGGTGCCAGTGGGGAGAATAGCGCCCCATCGTTGGTGCCAGTGGGGAGAAATAGCGCCCCATCGTTGGTGCCAGTGGGGAGAATAGCGCCCCATCGTTGGTGCCAGTGGGGAGAATAGCGCCCCCATCGTTGGTGCCAGTGGGGAGAATAGCGCCCCATCGTTGGTGCCAGTGGGGAGAATAGCGCCCCATCGTTGGTGCCAGTGGGGAGAATAGCGCCCCATCGTTGGTGCCAGTGGGGAGAATAGCGCCCCATCGTTGGTGCCAGTGGGGAGAAATAGCGCCCCATCGTTGGTGCCAGTGGGGAGAATAGCGCCCCCCATCGTTGGTGCCAGTGGGGAGAATAGCGCCCCATCGTTGGTGCCAGTGGGGAGAATAGCGCCCCATCGTTGGTGCCAGTGGGGAGAATAGCGCCCCATCGTTGGTGCCAGTGGGGAGAATAGCGCCCCATCGTTGGTGCCAGTGGGGAGAATAGCGCCCCATCGTTGGTGCCAGTGGGGGGAATAGCGCCCCATCGTTGGTGCCAGTGGGGAGGAATAGCGCCCCATCGTTGGCCAGTGGGGAGAATAGCCCCCATCGTGGGCCAGGGGAGAATAGCGCCCCATCGTTGGTGCCAGTGGGGAGAATAGCGCCCCATCGTTGGTGCCAGTGGGGAGAATAGCGCCCCATCGTTGGTGCCAGTGGGGAGAATAGCGCCCCATCGTTGGTGCCAGTGGGGAGAATAGCGCCCCATCGTTGGTGCCAGTGGGGAGAATAGCGCCCCATCGTTGGTGCCAGTGGGGAGAATAGCGCCCCATCGTTGGTGCCAGTGGGGAGAATAGCGCCCCATCGTTGGTGCCAGTGGGGAGAATAGCGCCCCATCGTTGGTGCCAGTGGGGAGAATAGCGCCCCATCGTTGGTGCCAGTGGGGAGAATAGCGCCCCATCGTTGGTGCCAGTGGGGAGAATAGCGCCCCATCGTTGGTGCCAGTGGGGAGAATAGCGCCCCATCGTTGGTGCCAGTGGGGAGAATAGCGCCCCATCGTTGGTGCGCCAGTGGGGAGAATAGCGCCCCATCGTTGGTGCCAGTGGGGAGAATAGCGCCCCATCGTTGGTGCCAGTGGGGAGAATAGCGCCCCATCGTTGGTGCCAGTGGGGAGAATAGCGCCCCATCGTTGGTGCCAGTGGGGAGAATAGCGCCCCATCGTTGGTGCCAGTGGGGAGAATAGCGCCCCATCGTTGGTGCCAGTGGGGAGAATAGCGCCCCATCGTTGGTGCCAGTGGGGAGAATAGCGCCCCATCGTTGGTGCCAGTGGGGAGAATAGCGCCCCATCGTTGGTGCCAGTGGGGAGAATAGCGCCCCATCGTTGGTGCCAGTGGGGAGAATAGCGCCCCATCGTTGGTGCCAGTGGGGAGAATAGCGCCCCATCGTTGGTGCCAGTGGGGAGAATAGCGCCCCATCGTTGGTGCCAGTGGGGAGAATAGCGCCCCATCGTTGGTGCCAGTGGGGAGAATAGCGCCCCATCGTTGGTGCCAGTGGGGAGAATAGCGCCCCATCGTTGGTGCCAGTGGGGAGAATAGCGCCCCATCGTTGGTGCCAGTGGGGAGAATAGCGCCCCATCGTTGGTGCCAGTGGGGAGAATAGCGCCCCATCGTTGGTGCCAGTGGGGAGAATAGCGCCCCATCGTTGGTGTCAGTGGGGAGAATAGCGCCCCATCGTTGGTGCCAGTGGGGAGAATAGCGCCCCATCGTTGGTGTCAGTGGGGAGAATAGCGCCCCATCGTTGGTGTCAGTGGGGAGAATAGCGCCCCATCATTGGTGTCAGTGGGGAGAATAGCGCCCCATCATTGGTGTCAGTGGGAGAAATAGCGCCCCATCATTGGTGTCAGTGGGGAGAATAGCGCCCCATCATTGGTGTCAGTGGGGAGAATAGCGCCCCATCATTGGTGTCAGTGGGGAGAATAGCGCCCCATCATTGGTGTCAGTGGGGAGAATAGCGCCCCATCATTGGTGTCAGTGGGGAGAATAGTGCCCCATCATTGGTGTCAGTGGGGAGAATAGTGCCCCATCATTGGTGTCAGTGGGGAGAATAGTGCCCCATCATTGGTGTCAGTGGGGAGAATAGTGCCCCATCATTGGTGTCAGTGGGGAGAATAGTGCCCCATCATTGGTGTCAGTGGGGAGAATAGTGCCCCATCATTGGTGTCAGTGGGAGGAATAGTGCCCCATCATTGGTATCAGTGGGAGGAATAGTGCCCCATCATTGGTGTCAGTGGGGAGAATAGTGCCCCATCATTGGTGTCAGTGCGGAGGAGGAATAGTGCCCCATCAATGGTATCAGTGGGGAGAACAGTGCCTCATCGTTGGTGTCAGTGGGGGAGGAACAGTGCCTCATCGTTGGTGTCAGTGGGGGAGGAACAGTGCCTCATCGTTGGTGTCAGTGGGGGAGGAACAGTGCCTCATCGTTGTTGTCAGTGGGGGAGGAACAGTGCCTCATCGTTGTTGTCAGTGGGGGAGGAACAGTGCCTCATCGTTGGTGTCAGTGGGGGATTGGTCGCCTGTGTGCCTTTCCAGTGCTGGCGCCCAATCACCGGTGAGGAGGCGGAGCCGAGCAGCCGCGCTTCCTGGACCGGATCGTCGTGGGACCGGAGCCAGGTAAGGTACAGCAGCCCCTCTGCCCACCCCTGTACTTAGTGTCCGTTGGAGGAGGAGGGGGGGCGGCGCCGCGCCTCGAAAAAGTGCCGCCCTGACACCTGGCGCCGGCTCGCACCGGCGTATAAGACGACCCCCGACTTTTCAGAAGATTTTCAGGGGTTGAAAAGTCGTCTTATACGCCGGAAAAATACGGTAATTCACATAAGTGCATTTAAGATATAAAATGCCAAAAAAACCTTAAAGGGGTTGTCCGAGTTATATAAAATAAAATATAGCACTGTAAATATGATGGTCAGCAATATATACAAGTTTTAGGGAAAAAAAATTCTATTTCCTCATTTCCCTAGTTCTCTTCTGACCCTTTGTTATTTGCAGGTAAACAAACTCTGCCCCTCCCCCCCTGCAAAGGCAGTGAATACAAGTGCTGCTCTGAGTAACATGTCTGACTACTGGGATACTCAGCAGCATGCTGTATGTGTAAGCCTCAGCCCTGAGTCTGTGCTTCTAATGGTAGAAGGGGTTAATCTTTCCTGAAGAATTCAGTGGCTGGGATACCAAATACCCTTGTTTTCTGTGTCCATGGGACAGTCGAGACCGAGAAAATCACTGGACCAAGAAGAGTTGGCAGCCGAGGGTGCTAACAGTCGGTGAAAATAATGTCCTCCGAGAAACTTTGGTACCTTCCCATAAAGTTCTTCTACCACCTCTCCACATAAAATTGGGATTGATGAAGCAATTCGTAAAATCACCTCCAAGAGATGGAGAATGCTTCAAATACTTGGTCATCAAATTTCCAGGCCTGTCGGAGGCAAAATTGAAGGAAGGTGTGTTCGTCGGACCAGACATTAGAAGGCTTATAGTTGATCAAGAGTTTGTCAATACCATGACGGATCCTCAAAAAGAAGGGTGGATTGCATTTAAAGAAGTCGTACAGAAATTTTTAGGCAATAACAAAGATCCTCACTACAAAAAGATTGTTGGACGAATGCTGAAAGCATTTCAAGCTTTAGGTTGCCTGACGAGTTTGAAAGTGCATTTCCTCCAGTCCCACCTTGACTACTTTCCTAAAAATTTGGGAGCTGTGAGTGAGGAACAAGGTGAACAATTCCACCAAGACATTAAAGAGATGGAAAGGAGATACCAGGGAAAATGGAGCATTACAATGATGGCAGACTACTGTTGGATGCTTCAGAGAGACAATCCAGATACTACTCACAAGCGTGAATGCACCAAGAGGAGCCTCACAGGGAAGAAGAATCGAGTTTAGTGTGTGTAGGTGAGCTCATTTCAGTTCAAAAAAGGATTTTCATGAAAAAATTGTAATAAAACTTTTATTTTATAAGTCTATTTCCATTTATTTTGAGGTATTGCCTTATTTTACAGTTACCTAAATTGTCAGGAAACGTGATGTCCTATGACAAAATGGAGTTCATTTTCGGATTCAGCGCACCAAAAAACAAAGATTACATGGAATAACCAAAACAGCTCTTGAAAAAACAATTTTTACAGACCTGTGTAAGCTGCTCAGACCGGTTTCATCAGAAAGACAGCAGCTGGCTAGGGAAAAAAAAAAAAAAAAAAAAAAAAAAAAAAAAAAAAAAAAAAAAGGATTGGTGTTATGGCTGATATTTTCAACCATAACCCCAGTAAACCACACGCTAACTGCAACGTGTATATATACATATTGCGGTCGGCAAGTGGTTTTTAAAATTGAGTGCTCCTGTGATATCGCAAAGAACTATGGTACCAAAAAATTCTCCATAGGCAACAATTTAAAAGTCTTTACAGTTTACCAGTTTAGCGTTAATGGGGTTCTAGTGCTAGAATTACTGCTGTCATTCTGACATTTGTAGCAATACTTTACACGTGGTACAATCACAGTTTATATGCATGTGCGCACCCTCTGCACACACCTGAGGGTGTGTACATGGCAGCGGGGGTTTCGGTTAATTTTTTTTTTTTTTTTTTAAGCAATTTTATTGTAATTCTATTTTTTACATTTTTTATTTAACTGTATTGCTATTAGGAGTTAAACCCCCATGTGATAGCATTGGGCAGGTGATGGTTATTAGACTCCAATGCCTCCCCTGCCCTCCAAAGCATTTAACCAGGCACAGTTCTGATCTGTTAGATTCTTCCTTGGCTGTATCAGCCAGGGAATGACAACTCAGAAACCAGAAGTGCCAATCATGACTGCCTCCAGCTTCAGTCACTGAAGAAGTGATCGAGGAACGGAGCTTCATCAGTTTCTTCCCGCTCGCCATCCTGAAGACAGTAAGAGTGGGAGAGCCTGGGAACCACCCAAGGTAGATTTGCACTGCCCACACAACAGTGATCAGGCAGCTATTCAGCCACCAGATCACATTCACTTTACAGTTTAGTGTCAGCTGAGGAAAATGGACACAAGCTGAAGGAGACCTCTTGGGCCTGACCAGACTGCTGACTACCTTTTAAGGGGGACCTCCGGCCAAATACCATATACACTGCATATTATGCTTTGGCATCTGGTGAGTGTGCACTTTAAACATTCCTTCTGACACATCATCTGAGAGATTATCCGGGAACATACGGATCACCTACTAGAGTAAAGAGGTCACCTACTAGAGACTACCCTGATCACATCAGTTGCCATTTTTGTCTGAACTGTTTTATACTCCCTAACAGGAGAGTTTTTTGGGATATATTTATCATTCATACCATCACATGCACGGCACTTTATCTATTGTATGTGTATTGCATTTTGTTACTGTATATGGGCACTTTACTTACCTAGTCAATTTTTGGTTCTTATATATTGATTTAGCACTGCACCCCCAATGTTGAATTTTAACTGCCATCAGGTCGTGTTTAAGAATCCACTCTTAGTATGTACTACATATGTCCAAAAAGCTGATCTGGTTAAGCTTCTTTCACTAGTAGTAGAGCTTGGACATAAGAGATGAGCTCTAAAAAAACATCAACGAAGCTCCTAAGACATACTATCTTACACCATCCTACTCTTCTCCTGCTGCCACTTCCCAGCTGCCATTACTGGCAAAAGGTATAAATCGGGATTGTTTTTTTTTTTTTTTCTTTTATTACAGGGGTGGCTGCAGTCTCTGTATATTTTTCAGCTGTGTTTTTTTTACCATTACTAATTAACTTTTATTTACATGTTCATTTATTTTATATGTAAATAATTTAGCCATACTTTGTAGCAAACAATTTTAGAGGCATTACAAGTAGGACAAACCATAGAATAAACTGTGTACTTTTTAATCAACAAATACAATTTGAGTTAAAGCAACAGCCAATTTTTTGCAAGACAGTGTTGCCAAAAGAAACTTTTGTTGTACCAAAAAAAAAATAATAAAAGCTACATGTATTATAATGTTATTTTAAAAAATTTAAAAAGTTAATTCCAAATCAGCAGGATACCATAGCAGAATTGTGAAAAATGCTCTGGTTCACATGGGGTACATGGGTGTGACCTGAAGTGGCTAACATTTTTATGTCATTATGAATATATGTTTTGTTTATATAAAAGAAAATTAGTAGATAAAAAGCCAAGTACTATTTTTTTGCTATACAGTCTATTTTGCTGATCACCAGTGGAGTGGAGTGCAAGATATAACTAAACCTAAAACAACTCACCATTTAGCTGAATCTTCTTCACAGCCAAAAATCCAGCTGTGCGTGTACTGTAAAAAGGAAAAAAAAAAAAAACAAAAAGTACTGATGTTTATTGGTTTTATTATTAGGATTTTGAGGGCAGAAATCAAAACACTTTAGGATTTTTTCATTTGTATGCAGTAACCTATAACCTATGTGTTTAGAAATATGCCCTGTAAAGTTTCCTTTGCCAATTTGCAATTTTAAAAAAAGTCTGATTATGTGTGTGAAATCATGAAAATCATGTAAGCATAATTACTTGAAAGTGCCTGCATATGAGCAGTGTTGTAATATCCTTGTTAAAAAGGGATTCTCATCGATTTTGTAAAATACTTTTAAATGTTTTAAGAATTTTTGGAAGGGGAGATGCATTCTGAAAACCCTAGCACCAGTTTTGATCTTGCTGAAATCAAAAGCGATCAGACCTGGCCAATTGCGTTGATTTTCAAGGCTATCCTACAGTTTATAATAGAATTAGTTGAAAATGACCCTGTGACTCATCTAACATCACTTTGCACATTTTTTAAGCCAATTTTTGTCGAACAGAAGTATTTCTAAAGTTATTGGGAACATGAGCCACATACAGTTGTGTACAAAATAATAGTGTATTGAAAAAAGTGAATAAAGCTCAAAATCCTTCTAATAGCATTTATATCCATACACACAAATGCATTGGGAACACTACACATTCTATTCCAAATCAAAACATGAAGAAAAATATATCAAATTTGTGGTGTTCCTCTAAAAAAATTGAAGAAAAGTGAATATTAGACTGTTCAAAAAAATAGCAGTGTTTGTATTCTTCTTTAAAACTCAAACATTCACTATATAAACTAAAAAATGTTTGAAGATTTTGCTTTCCTTTGAATCACTTAATATTTAGTTGTATAAGCACTGTTTCTGAGAACTGCTGTACATCTGTGTTGCATGGAGTCAACCAACTTCTGGCACCTGTGAACAGGTATTCCAGCCCAGGATGATTGGACTACATTCCACAGTTCTTCTCTATTTCTTAGTTTTGCCTCAGAAACTGCATTTTTGATGTCACCCCACAAGTTTTCTATTGGATTAAGATCCGGGGATTGGGCTGGCCACTCCATAACGTCAATCTTGTTGGTCTGGAACCAAGATGTTGAACACAACTGTACACTTCAGTCTCCTTGAGTAACTAAGGTGAATGAATATTTCTTGATTATACAGCAAAAGGCACTATATATGGTACTACAAAATATACTGCATACTACCATAAAATGCCTGAATGAAATAAAACAATACATTAGAGTTTTCTCAAAAATTGGTATTGACATAATAAACCCTTACCAAGTGTGTGCTTCGGCAATGAAAATGACTATGAGCATTTCTTTTATCTAGAAGTGGAAAGGCGAAATAGGTTTCACTGCATGCCTGTTAGCAGAAAAAAAAAACGGTAAGAACTAGTATTAGCATTCAGCTAAATATTAAAAACATACTGCAGTAGCCTGACCATTAATGCCTCAATATTAACAAGCAAAGCTTTTAATTGTGAGAATTACTTGCAATTATTGGGCCATTTTTTATCTAACAGAAGAAAGAAATGGGTGCCTTAGACAGTCAGGGGTACAATATTAAAATATAACTAAAGGCATTGATTTTGGATGGAGCACAAAAGGATTAGAATGTTGGTTGGTTTGTATTGCTGTCTGTGACTCCATTAAGGAGATTCACACATTCTATTTGTCCTGTTTACCATTATCATTGAAAGTGAAAGAAATTACCAAATTTTGGGTTATCCCCAGAAAAAGTAAGAGGGGAAATTTTCCAATGTACTAGTTCTGGTGACCTGGGGGTCCCCAAGGAATTCCCTTTCTCTTCCTGTTTGGCTATGGCACAGGAAGTGATGGGAAACCTCTTCAATCGGACACAGATGGTGAAAAAAAAAAAAAAATCTGATGGGTTATAACTAGGGATGCACCGATAGATCAGCAGCTGAAACATATCGTCTGAAAATAGTGTTGTCGGCACTTTGCAGATAGGAAAAAAAGGTGGAGATAATGATGCCAATACATGCAAAATCATGTCCCCATTAACTTCAATGCAAAAACGCCCTCTAGTGACTTCAATGCAAAATTCACCAACCATATTAAAAAAAAAAAAAAAAAAAAAAAAAAAAAAAAAGAATAACAGTTGGTTTTGGTTTTCGGCCAAGTGCATCCTGAATTTTCTTCGGTTTCGGCATCAGAATTTTCATTTTGCTGCACCACTAGTTATAACCCTCCCATACTCTATCCAATATGGGGGAAAAAAAAAAAAAAAAGAGCTTTGCCTATAGTTCTACTTTAACCGCACAGTAATATGTAACCTGGACTCAGCAGTCCTCAGACCCTGTCAGTTTTATATTCCAATAGTTGTTATTGAGTATCTGTGAGTGAAGTGAGTACACCCCTCACATTTTTGTAAATATTTTATTATATCTTTTCATGTGACAACACTGAAGAAATGACACTTTGCTACAATGTAAAGTAGTGAGTCTACAGCTTGTATAACAGTGTAAATTTGCTGTCCCCTCAAAATAACTCAACACAGCCACTAATGTCTTCTATTGTTTCAAACAAAGTGGAGAACCTCAGCTTGTAAATGCTGCAACTCCCATCTCGGAATTGATATCGGTAAGGTTCTAAAATAATATAGCATTTTAATCGAGTTGATTCTGCCAAACCAGGATAAAGAGTAATGAGCCCAACACCAAAGATAATCTAATAAGAAGATTTTTTTTTAAAGGGGGGGGGGGGGGGGGGGGAGTTCGTTTGATAAAAGGGTCACGACAGTAGCAGTTAGGTGGATCCCTAAATAAGGCAAAGAGTTGATGCCCATTGAAAGTTCCAAGCAGTTCTAAACTGCTGTTCTACAGAAGAAGGTAAGGAAACGTTAAGGGCTGTCGTTTTTTTGTGCGTTTGAGGAAAGCTCAGAAAGGTCAGAGATTTGGCACAAAAGAGACAGTAGATTAGGTACGGTGATCAAAGGAGAGGTAATATACATAGGAACATCATAAGCAAATAGGGCACATTTATGTTCCTGTTGTCCACAACAGACACCATGGATTTTGGGATGGGAAAGGATCTCCAATGCGAAAAGCAATGGGGAAAGTGGGCAACCCTGTCTAGTGCTGCATCGAAATGGCGAACACAGAAGATCTGTAGCCCATAATGGAAACTTAAGCCGAGGGAGTATTGTATAGCAAATGCAATAAAGCAAGAAACGTAGGACCAAATCCAAAAGCTTGCAAGGTAGTAAACAAATATTCCCAAGTTAAACTATCAAAAGCTTTATGAAGGTCCAAAGAAAGAAGCAAACGTTCCCTTGAAAGGAAAGCATCCCATTTAGAGTGGACAGCTGATATCAAAGGGATAGACCAATGAATCCGATCCAATGTTTGGTGACCAGATATGAAGCCCGACTGGTTCTTATGAACATACTTCGCCAAAAAGGAATTAAGACGCAAAGACAAAAGTTTTGTTAGAATTTTCAAGTCACAAATAAGTCCTTATTAGGTTTGGGAATGACACTAATATACAGTATGCTTTAAAATCTCAAAGGATCTTCTGAGGATCCTGTAAGATATGTCCCCCCGAAATACTGAGCTTAGGAAGTGCCGAGTGGGTATGTTTAGGGGTAAATTTGCTAAGAGGGAGCCTGGTTTGTCTTGCCATGCGAAACATTTATGGTTCATCCAACGCAGTTGCTTTTTTGCTTTTGTGGTAAGGCAGTGGTTAAGTTTAAAACGAGCCTGTTCTACCTTAAGTAACAGGTCAGAAGTTGGTGCAATTTTATGCTGGGCGACGAAGGCCTCATATTCTTTAGATTTGGCAGAGATCAACTCTTCGCGAGATCTTTTAATTCTGGAGGACAGTTGGATAAAGAAGCCTCTAACAGAGGCTTTGAGGCCTGCCCAGTTAATAGCAGGTCTCGTATTTTCTGCTTTATTAATTCTAAAGTAAGATTTCAAGTGTTCCACTACTTCCAGACAAAAGGACTCGTTACCAAAAAGGGACTCATTTAATCGCCAGTGTGGCATGGCCAGGTTGGTTTTCAAATTAGAAAGCATCAGCATCACAGGGTCATGGTCTGACCAGGGCATCGATACAATTTTGCCTGACAGCATTTCCGAGGGGAGAAAAATGTGATCTATACAAGAATAATGATTAGGAGCTATATTATTATTACTATATATACAGGATTTATATAGTGCCAACAGTTTGCACAGCGCTTTACAATAGAAGGGAGACAGTACAATTACATTGCATTTCAGTACAGAAGGAATATGAGGGTCCTGCTCGTGGAATTTACAATCTAAAAGATTGTAAGCTCCACTAGAGGAAAAACGGGAATAATTTCTTGAGGTGGGATTAGTCTCTCTCTAAGCATCAATTAAGTTTGGCCCCATCGGTTTTATATCTTGCGGCCTGCAGGTCTCTACACAACCTGGGAGATGGAAAAGTTTCATGTCACTACCAAAAGGTGTGAGACCTAGCCTCAGCTAAATTAAATCTACCAGAATTTCAGGACTCTACTTCCCTCTAGCATAATATATATTTCTCAGAACTACTCATGGGCCTCCAAAAGGTATTTACCTTACAGCATGTTTTACGTTTTGGGACTCTTAAGACATTTGACATGTTGAAAGCAGAATTTTTTCTTCCCAACCACATGTTTTTTCAGACGCTTGCAGATGTCCCACGCTTTGCAAACCTAGTTCTCTTCATTTCCACCGTCCACGTTTATCCAACCCCCTCAGGGACGTGGTCCGAAGTGAGGAACCGCAAATGAATTTCCACAATTTATGGCAAGTTACTCCTCTCTGTTGCCACTACATTAGCCTATGGGCAAAAACCTCGCTAGGAGGTGAATGTGGGGGACACAGATGACGTGGACTGGAGTGAAATCTTGGACACCTGCAAAGCTGTCTCACCTAGATTGCCAGATCATCTTACAACATTGCACATACTCCATCGCACTTACCTTACCCCAATTAGGTTGACCCAGTATGGCCAAGACCACAATTCTTGATGTTCTCTGTCTGCTAACTACCCAGGTACATTCTATCATTTAATATGGGCCTGCCCCATTATTCAGGGATTTGGGGCACATGTGGTGATTTTCCTACAAGACATCATGGGCTCTCCATTGACTCCAGATTCTAAACTGTTTGTTGGGCTTATACCCCACCCCCTGACCAAGATAATTTTACAAAAATCTTTTTAACTGAAACCATTTTTATTACCAGAATGCTCATTGGTAGAAGATAAGTGAGGATGACACTCCCTACTCTAAACTCCTGGATAAATTAAATTAATAGCACATTACCCTTTACCACTTCAAGTCCAGACACTTTCACCCCTTTCCAGTCCAGGCCAATTTTCAGCTTTCAGCTCTGTCACACTCTGAATGACAATTGCGTGGCCGTGTAACACTATACCCAAATTAAATTTTTAGCATTTCTTTGAGAGAGATAGAACTTTCTTTTGGTGGTATTTATTCACCACTGGAATTTGTATTTTTATTCTATATAAAATGAAAAAAGACCAAAACTTTTGAAAAAAAAAAAAAAAAAAAAAAAACGTGTTTTTGCAAATAAGTGTTTCTTCATAAACTTTTGGCCAAAATGTATTCGGCTACCTTTTTGGTAAAGAAAAATAAATAACCGAAATCAGTTTATATGAAAATAATTATAATTTTTCAAAAAAATTTACATTTTAGTTTTTATGGTTTTTTGTTTTGTTTTACATACCATCACCCTAGCAGTAGTGTTACAACATAGTGACACTGTACTACTTGTGGCAGGTGATCAAGATTTGTTATTTTTTTTTTTTTTTTACACCGATTGCTTTTACACCCATAAAAGGCTGTAAAAGCAATAATTTCTCCTTCTCTCTGGCTGAATTTCCTCAGCCATTGAGAAATACTCTGAGAGCTGTAATTGGTCACAGCTTATCACATGGTACAAGGCTGTTGTGAATGGCCTTGTACCATGTGACCTCTGTGATTATTCACAGAATTCACAAGTAGTAAACAATGTCAGGAAGTGACATCTTGTTTACTACTGTTCATGTGATCATTAATTGGCAAATCAGTGATCACATGAATCGGGACCCACACAGCGGCCCCGTACAGCGATCTGTGTTCCACTGTGTCTGGTGGTCACAGCAGACACAGATCACGGCGCTCCCAGGGAGCACGCACAGGCAATGGATGAAGAGGGCGTTTAGAAAACACTTCTTTATACTCACAAAGGTTGCCCATCCAAGTATAACAAAATATGGGATCGCTGGTTACAATCTTCCACAACGTGTACATGATGTGCCTCTACTTAACCTAACTCCTGTATTCGCCCTTACTGGGTCTTTTGTTTTATCAATGAAACTTCTCCAATACTCTTTAGTCCAAAATGTGATTGAACACACTCGGATCTGTAATGCATATACTTTCTGTCTTATGTCTGTTAATAATGCATGTTTTTCTTTTGCTGCACCCCCACCCACCCTTCGGGGCACAGCCTCCATTTAGATGACTATTCCTATGGGGAATAAACTTTTGGATTGGTCATGTACCTACTTGTTATCCAATGTACACCTAACTGCGGTAATGTATATACTTGGGAGATTTTTCATGTTATTGGTAATATTAATACCTGTATTGTGCATTCTGTAACCTACCCTTATTTTCTTTTTCTTCAATAAAAATGTATGTTTTATATAATAAAAAAAAGGGGGGGGGGTAGTTAGTGTTCAGTTTCATTTTATTAGTCCAGTTCATTTAAATCAGCTAGAGCATCTAACACTACCCTCTTCTCAGACTGACAATGCTGCTGTCAAGAGGTGTCTGTTTATCCATCCAAAGAGAGCCACCCTAAGACAGAGGAGTGTTACTAACTGGGTCACAATAAAAATGCTTAAAAAAAAAAAAAAAAAAGATAACTTATGCAGCCATCACATTTAAAAGTTGGTAAGATGCAGTTTATTACCACTTTAAGGATACCAGTGTAACATGAAGAACAGGGATATCACCCATGCTAGGGATAATAGGTCACCCATACTAGTTGTTCACATGGAATCAATGTTACCTTTAAGTTGATTGTTGTGTTTTTCTATAAAGCATTTAAGGATTTAGTTTACTTTAACCAGTTAATAAATTGCCTGGAATACTACTTACAAGATCAAGTCAAAAAGCGCCTTTCATAGCTATTTGGGGAAATTAAACACCAGCAGACAAAAAAAAAAAAAAAAAAAAAAAAAAAAAAACACATAACTTACACCAGTAACAGAGTGCTTCCAGTTTCTTGTTTCAACAAAAACCCATGTTGAGGACACTAAAAATAAATAACACATTTAGTAAAATGGGAACATTAAGAACAAAAGTCTAAATTACAGTTTGAGAGAAATCATTCTCCGAAAGAGTTTAAATATCAGTACAGTGACATCACTGATTAAAAACAATACACAGCAGTCATGTGCTATATAACTCACCAACCTAAAACAGTACTCATAATGAGTAAGAAATCTACTGTAAAGTATGGCATTACAGAAAAGTAAAGTAAAGGAAATTTCTTCAGGAAGGATTTTAGAAGGGAAAAAACAGAATTGAGGGAAGGCTGCTACTGAGCCTTTTTAAATAAACTATTAACCTCTTGGTTCCGCAAATATGCGTCCCCTCGGTGGATGGTCCTTCAAGCCGAGAGACCGCATACCAGTCACATGATCATAAACCTCGCCTTGCCTCCTGGCATCACAAACCCCTTTTAGGGGGCCGGGAGGCGTGGCCTGAAGGGCTTAAGAGAATTAGGGGAAAAGTAAAATTTTATAACGAAGTTCTGCTGTTAGTTGTTCTGTATCATGGATTGAGTGAACTTTCCTTTGCTTTGCATAGTAAATTAATTGCCATTAGCCACTAGTAATTAACCTTACCCCTTCCTGCTGACTATACACATACGCAGCCTCAAAGAAGCGGGATCCAAAGAGCCACGTGTGTGTGTATACCTGTGTTTGTGCCAACCAACCAAACCAATCAGGGAAAAGGGAAAGGCATGATTGACTGTATTTAGGGAGGTGGTGGGTGGGACTGCTCAAAAAAAAAATAAAAAAATATATATATATATCACTCCTCAGGCTAACTAACCGTTTCCTATCCAAAAAAGGCTGTCACAATGTATTTACCGGGACTAGTCCTTAATTATAGGAAATGGCTGGACTGAGGAAAAAAAAATATTATAGAAAAGAAAAATAAATTAAACACTTATCAACTTGTGCACAAGGCAGATATGTGATGGGGGACAGGTAATTTTATAAAAAAAATTTAAAAAAAAGAATAAAACCGTAAAAATATTTTTTATTATTTTATTAAAGGTTAAAACAGTAAAACATTATTTTATAAAAAGACTACAAATAAAAGAAAGGTGAGAATTAAAAAGGGTCCTTTATCTTTATCTTATCAAGCACTGTGTTATCGAGCACCTATATTTTTATTATCAACATTCAATCTGAATTTCAAACTGAAACAAAAGGGTAAACAAAACATTTTACTTCCTGTAATCATCTTTAAACCACTTTAGGACTGCTCCATAGCAGATATACTGCTACAGTGCATCCCCCCTGTCCGCCGGCACCTGCCGATCATCAAGCAAACACACAGAATGGAGCTCTGCCTATGTAAACAGGCAGAGCTCCGTTCTGACAGGGGAGGGAAGTGATCGATCTTGTCTCTAAAAAGCAGCCATCACTTACCTTAGTAAAAGTAGCACGCACAGCAAACAAAACATATAGCTAGGCAAACCGTTAATCCTTTGATCGCCCTGGATGTTTAACCCCTTCCCAGTCAATGTCATTAGCACAGTGACCGTGTATATTTTTAGCAATGATCACTGTATTAGTGTCACTGATTCCCACAAAAGTGTCAAAAAACTGTCAGTGTCTGATTGTCCGCCACAATATTACAATCCCGCTATAAGCCATTGATCGCTGCCATTATTATAATAAAAAAAAATTAAAAAATTCCAGTACAGTATATACACACCATAATTTGCAGACACTAAACGTTTTGCGCAAGTCAATCAATCAATATACACTTATTGGAATTTTCTTTATCAAAAATATTTAGCAGAATACATATTGGCCTAAATTTATGAAGAAATTTTATATTTTAAAATTTTTATATTGGATACATTTTATAGCAGAAAGAAAAAAATATAATAGTTCTTTTTTCATAATTGTTGATTTTATTTTTGATTATAGAGCAAAAAATAAAAAAAATGCAGTGGTGATCAAATACCACCAAAAGAAAGCTCTATTTGTGGAAAGAAAAATTACATAAAAATTTAATTTACATACAGCATTGCATGACCGCACAATTGTCATTTAAAATAACCCATTGCTGTATCGCAAAAAAATGGCCTGGTCATGCAGGGGGTGTAAATCTTCTGGAGGGAAAGTGGCTAATATAGTTATGGGATAACACCATATTTTATAAATACTTACATATCAGGTCCCATTTAGATTAATGGGGGTAAACATGAATGCATTCAAAATTCACTTTTATTAAATAACCGCTTGCCCGCCACGATATAGCAGAAATACTGCTACAGGGTGATAAAGCTGTGCAAAATCACGTATATATACACGTGATTTTGCATTCCGGGTAGGAATTTGCGGCTTCAGCTGTCGATCACTGGGTCTCAGCTGGTGAATCCCCGCCGGCACCTGGCGATCGCCGAGTATTACTGACAAGGGGCTATATGTAAACAATACAGATCTCTCTCCTGTCAGCTCCTGCACACTGCTTTGTATTGCATAGCAGAGCAATAGAAAGCATTGTGCTTACACTGTAAAACACACACACAGCACACATTTAACCCTTTGATCGCCCCAGATGTTAACCCCTTCCTGCCCAATGTCATTAGTACAGTGTCAGTGCTTTTTTATTAGCACTGATCACTGTATTAGTGTCACTGGGTATGTCAGTGACAGTTATTCAGTCAGTTCCCCCCCAGTGTCAAAATGTCTGCCGCAGTCCCGCTATAAGTCGCTGATCGCCGCCATTACTAGTATAAAAAAAATTAAATTACAGTATATATACCGCTATTTGGAGACACTATAACTTTCACGAAAACCAATTTACAGGTTCTGGGATTCTTTTTTAGCAAAGATGTAGCGGAATACAGTTTACTGGACATGTGTAATAGCAAAAAGTAAAAAAATATTTTTTTCTCAAAATTGTCAGTCTTTTTTTTTTGTTTATAGTGCAAAAAATGTAAACCGCAGAAGCGATCAAATGCCACTGAATGAAAGTTGTGAGAATAAAGGACATACATTTCATTTGGGTGCAGTGTTGCATGACCGCGCAATTGTCAAAGTAACGCAGCGCCGTATCACAAAAAAATGGCCTGGTCAGGAAGAGTGTTAAATCCTCTGGAAGGCAAGTGGTTAATGTTACTTGTTGTTTGTACCCGTAGTACAGCCCAGAAACAATAGAGTGCATATATTTTTTATCCTACCTAAAACACACTAACACCAATTAAAAAAAAAAACTAACCCTGATACTGACCAATATCAAATCTTGGTATTTTTTTGTTTTGTTTGGAGTTTTAACACACTTTTTTTTTTTTTGCAAAGAGACAGATGCAATGCATCTCTCTCCTTCACTGAGAGAGAGAGAGAGAGAGAGAGAGAGAGAGAAAGAGAACATGGGGGCGGGCTGCACAGTGACTGATCACTGTGATAGCCAATCAGTGGCTATCACAGCGATCAAGTGACCCGGAATCGGGAGTTCCGGCTCCTGATCGTTAGTAGCATATTTGCGTATGCTGGGCGCCAAGGGGTTAAAATGGCCGAGTTCACAATTCATTTTACATTAGAATATAATATTAATCCAGACAGATGCATTATAAATATTTACTGGACATGTAGACATTTTACAGACCTGGAACACTTGTGATTGTTTCATATGATGATTCATATTGCTTTGCTGGATGTCTCACAAAGTGATGACTTAAAACAGACATTCTTTTTTTGGGATCATTTGTGATCTATGCAATAAAAAACAAATATACATCTTAAAAAAAAGAAAAAAAAAAAAAAAAACTAAGGAAACAGACACTGGTAAACAATATACACTGTTCATCAGAAGAGTAATACAGTTACCATAAGACTTGGGTTGCACTCAAGCCGAAAGGCCTCTCCCCCATTACTATGGCAGATAATTTAGGCTAGGTTAACATTGCTGCAATCAGATTTTCCTTGCAATTATGTAGTGCAACATGGATGTGGTTTACATATTCTCTGGCGTCAAAACTCACACTGGATTCACACCAAAGTGGTACAGGAACCTTTTCCAAATTTGCACTGTGCTGAGTTGCATTGAGTCGAGTAGGAACCAAAGAAAACAACGTTATTTCCATTGTAATGAGATCCTGTGCAACTTGATTTCGAAATTGCACTAGTTTGAACAAACAAAGCCCTAACCACTTGCCTACCAGGCACTTTTTGCCAAGGCCAATTTTAAGCTTTCAATGCGGTTACATTTTGAATGACAATTGTGCAGTCATACAACACTGTACCCATATGAAATCGTTATTTTTTTCATACAAATGGAGCTTTCTTTTGGTGGCATTTAATCGCCACTGGGGTTTTCATTTTTTGCATTATAAAAGAGCAAATATTTGAATTTTTTTTTTTCTTTTTGTTTCTGTTATAAAATTTTGCAAACCGGTAACTTTTCTCCTTCACTGATGTACGTTGATGAGGCTGCACTGATAGGCTGCACTGATGAGGTGACACGGACAGGCAGCACTGATAGGCTGCACCGATGAGGTGGCAATGGTGTGCATTGATGAGGAGGCACCGATTATGCTGCACTGATATGCAGCAATGATTGGCACTGATCAACGGCACTGACTGGCAGCACAGCTGGGTGGCACTGATTATGATCAATGCCCTGATGATCAGTGCAGCCCTGTGGCATTTGCCGGTTATCAGCAATACTCTCCTCACCTTGTGACAGTGTGAGGAAAGTGCTGCCGATAACCGGCAACTGTATTTATTTTGTGATCTACTGTGTCATTGGACACAGCTAATCACTTGGTAAAAGGCTGCTGTGATTGACCTTTTACCATGTCATGTGATGGGCTGTGTCCATAGGACAAAGCGAACACTGACAGCGCAGAGTGTGCACCACTAGGGGAGCATTCTGGAAGGACGTCATAAGACACCCTCCCAGGACTGGACAACTGCGCTGTAGCCGCCAATCGGCTATAGCGCAGTTGTAAAGTAGTTAAATAGATTATAAACCCTCTGCATTTTTTCCCATCTATATTAAAAAACAGTGCCGCTGAAAGCATATTGTGACGGAGGTGTGGGTGGAACAGAACACACACAGAGAACAGGAATACACACAAGGCTTTTATTGAAAGATTTTGATGGCACACGGTGAGAATAGCAAGGTTCTGGCAAAACAGAAGTCCATAAGTTCTGGTAAGCAACAAGGGGGTTAGTCCATAACACTGTCTGGGCCCACAACAGGGAGGTGGGCAAGGATTAAGTCCAGGTTGGCACACAGCAGGAAAGCAGAACTCTGGCGGGCAAGGACTAAGTCCAGGTTGGCACACAGCAGGGAGGCAGACTCTGGCAGGCAAGGGGGTAAGTCTGGGTTGGCACACAGCAGGGAGGCAGAATTCTGGCACGCAAGGATTAAGTCCAGGTAGGATCTTCAGTGCAGGGGTTGTTCCGGGTGGATGTCATATGCCATCCTCCCAGTATGCGGCTGCAATCTGTCACTGGCTGTGACCACAGGACACATCCGATGACAGGTTAGTGTACTGGCCCGCTGCCGTTACCATGTAATGGCTGTGACCAATCACAGCAGATCACATGGTACAGAGGGCCAATCACAGCTTATCTGTACCACATCATTAGCTGTGGCCAATTACAGCTAATCACAACAATGCATGCTGAAAGAATCAATTTCATTCTGTAAAAATTGTTGCTTGTGAAATTCAATGGTTGCTTATACCAGTGAAATTCAATATGTAAAACAAGAAAAAAAATAAAATAAATCCTGAGCACTTCCCCAGAGCATTGCAATGTTATTATGGTAACATTACATTGCTCTGGTCAGTTCGTTAAATTAATTTTTTTTTGTTGATACTGTCACCAGTGTCCCTGATCACTATCACACCAGTTATAGGATGACATTCTACTGTACTGGTGACAGTATGAACAAAAAAAAAAAAAAAGTCTTAATTTTCCAAAAGATTAAGACAAAAAAAAAAAAATGACTTCAAAAACTTGCTATGCCTCGTACAAAATATATTGGGACTGTGTACTTTCCAAAAAAAGGGGTCATATGGGGGATATCTGTACTGTCCTGACATTTTTGGACCTCAATAAATTAGATCAGTACATCAGGATTACTCGATTTTCAGATATACAGGTGAAACTCGAAAAATTAGAATATAGTGCAAAAGTTCATTTATTTCAGTAATGCAACTTAAAAAGTGAAACTAATATATGAGATAGACTCATTACATGCAAAGCAAGATAGTTCAAGCCATGATTTGTCATAATTGTGATCATAATGGCTTACAGCTCATGAAAACCCCAAATCCACAATCTCAGAAAATTAGAATATTACATGCAATCAATAAAACAAGGATTGTACATAGAACAATATCGGACCTCTGAAAAGTATAATCATGCATATGTACTCAGTACTTGGTTTGAGCCCCTTTTGCAGCAATTACTTCCTCAATGCGACGTGGCATGAAAGCCATCAGCCTGTGGCACTGCTGAGGTGTTATGGAAGACCAGGATGCTTCAATAGCAGCCTTCAGCTCTTCTGCATGGTTCGGTCTCATGTCTCTCATCTTTCTGTTGGCAATGCCCCATAGATTCTCTATGGGGTTCAGGTCAGGCGAGTTTGCTGGCCAATCAAGCACAGTAGTCCCACGGTCATTGAACCAGGTTTTGGTGCTTTTGGCAGTATGGGCAGATGCCAAGTCCTTCTGGAAAATGAATTCAGCATCCCCATAAAGCTCGTCTGTGGAAGGAAGCATGAAGTGCTCCAAAATCTCCTGGTAGATGGCTGCGTTGACCCTAGACTTAATGAAGCACAGTGGACCAACACCAGCAGACGATATGGCTCCCCAGATCAACACAGACTGTGGAAACTTCACACTGGACGTCAAGCATCTTGCAGTGTGTGCCTCTCCATTCTTCCTTCATACTCGGGGTCC